TAACTGTAAACGGAGCATGTTCAAGCCATTGTAAATTTAAATAAAATTAAGGCTTTAAAACACCTTTTCCATGCACGGTTGGGTAAATGATCCAGATTGAGGCTGCGACACTGCTTCATAATATCTGTTGCCCTCTCCATAGTCCACTTTACAGAGAAATCATCAAACAAAGTTGTCACAAAGCATGCCAGTATGTACAGAAGCTGGAGCCTGTACTGATTGTGTATTGAGGCCTGTCTACTGTTGTCAGATGAAGAACCATCAGATATGGAGCTGATGTAATTTTCTTACCCACTGAGGGGGCCTTGTGAGTATAATATTCATTAGATGTCTCAGCCGAGCAGTGCCTCATCTCCTCTGCCTCCTCTGCTGCAGGATTAAAAAAAAACAAAAACTATTAAAACACCTACCAGAACCATATTTGAAACTTAAAATGACTCAATGTGCAATAAAGCATGCTTCCACGATTGCAGGGATTGAAATCAGTTTTCGAATTTTAACACTGCCCAGTGAAGTCACCTGCAACACTCACCTACTAAACGGCATCTGTTGGTTTCTGTCATCTTTCAGTGCAAATCCAATTTTCTGATAATGTTTTTCATCATTGCAATGTCACAGTCAGGTAGAAGGGGAAAAAATTGAGTGAGGCGGTTATAGAGCCAAACGTGGTAACATGGTCATTGGTTTGATTGTCACAACCTACAGGAAAGTGTAATAGCTGTCAACAGATAAGTGAAAATGCTATCATCACAAGTGCAGTTTTATCATTGCTGTCAGAGCAGCAGTCTTTTGATTGATGGAGAGATGTTACACTGCAGCAAGCCCCGTGTCTTCAGTCAGATGTGTTTGGATCAAGGAGAGAAGAGCGAAAAGACAGTTAAATCCATTTTTACAAAAAGGCTCAGCAAACAGAAGAAAATAGTCTGCAGTGCATCAGCATGGAGTTTAATGCAGGCAGTAAAAAGAAAAGCCACTTTGAATCCAGATTTGTCCTTTTCAAACAGCAGTTGTGACCCGTTAGTCATTCATGACTACAGTTAACATACTGGGCTAGGAGAGCATCTCAAGGGGGGGAATCACAACACTCGACGATGCCCATGGTTTTTATACTTCATGTAGGTAACACTGCAAACTATTTTCATTCACCGATTAAAAGCAGTTTTTTTGGGGTTTTTTTTTTTTTTTTTAAGAGTACGTTTTCTCAATTAATTTTGAGCTTCTAAAAATGTGAGACTGTGCATAAAAATGTTTGTAATTCCTAAAGATTTTGGCCTTAACTTACGTTGAAGCTGAAAATCTGCACTGTGATCCAGTATTGATTGTTTGATTTAAAATCAAAGATAAATTACAAAAACAAACAAACAAAAAAGCCTGTAATAACTGGGCTCCAGTTTCTAAAAGTTAGGACATTTCATTGATATGTAGTACCGGTACTCTGCAATATCAGCTCGGTTTTGACTCCCTGAATATTTATTGAAAAATATGAATTCTTCTGAATCAGATTGATGCTTTCTGACAAATTTGTACACAAAACGTGTCATGGTGCAAAAAACAACCGTGGCACAGAAATAGAATATATGGTATACATTTTTACCGCATATAAATACACGGTGTAAACATATGGTGAGAATATTTTTTTTTTGACCAAGGATGGTAAGAATTAATGCTGTCATTATTAGTCTGACTCCAATATTTATCACATCTAAGTGCATTTCCCATAATGATTTGCTGTTCTTAAACCCGAACCTGCCTACAGCGCTTACTTTTTGTTAGCCTGTAAGCAAGTAAGGATGTGTTTTTGACCTTTCTGAAGTATATAAATGCATGGATATGTTTAGACTTGTATCTGCCCTTTTACAGCTTGTTCTAGAAATAAAAGCAATGTCTCTCTTTCAGTCTCCCTCTGTATAGCGAGCACACTCTGTTTAATGGTCTTCTACCATAATGCAGGCCGCTCTTTAACTTTTCATCACCTTTTTCTGCATTGACACGGGTGCAGTGAAACAGATGAACACACCCGTTTCTCGCTCCTCTATTCATTCAGAGCTGTAATTGTGTACGTGTGTGTTTTGAGGACAGGCCCCTCAGGGATGGTTTGTCTATGTGTTAATGGGATTTATAAATATATAACAGGTTTTTACCTTTATATAGTATTACAGATTAATACTCTTACATGGCCTGCTGTACCTTTTCATTTGATTTTAGTTTTTTTCATTAAAAGGCCTGTTAACCCAAATATTGAGAACTTGAACAAAACTGGCTTGTTTGTGGTTTCTTCTTTTGATTAAGAATTTTTTTGAGGAAAGACATTCGTTTTTCTTTGTGCTTTGGTAGCAATCTGTTGTATTCAATCATATGAATTGTCCATAATTTAACCTTGGTGGACGTTTTTATCTTGGACTATAATTTGTGACAATTTTTCAGTTTCCTTTTTACTTCTGTTGATTCACACATTGAAATTCGTAGCATTACTTTAATATATTTTTAGCATCTTAACAGGATACAAAATGGGAGATTGTTAGGTAAAATGATCGCACACTACTTCAGTAATGTTGATGTCCGGGCTCTCCAGAGGCCCATACATGACTGATAATGTTCTATCTTGTGTGTTTTTCTATCCAGGTTTGTTTTCACTGCGTTGGCAGTGTGTTTGGGATCTTTGTCATGCTGCAAAATTAAGCTTTTTTTTTTTTTTTTTCCTTGTGGGTCAAAATCTGATGATACTTTTCTGTGTTGATAATTGGATCAATTTTAACAAGAAATGCAGCTTCACACCACGACATGGCTTTCACCGTTTTTTTTACAGATGGATGTAGACACTGATTATGGTTTTGATTCATCACTGCATTCCCTTCCTAGAGAATGGCTGCTTGACAGCTGCCCGATGCATCTCCTGTATCATATAAGTCCTGCATCAGGTCTTATACGATGCTGGATACATGTATATGAGTTTAAGATATTGTTCATCGGCTGTAGATAATTCTTTAGCTCATCCTTCCATTTTTCCATTTTTCTCAGTATTTTCTAATAGCTCTTTAGGAATCATGTTGTTGGTGAAAAAATACCGTCTTGGGCTGTGTTATCTTTGTTTTGTTTTTTTCATAAGTTCAACCAAAGAAATGGGAACAAAGGAAGTGTTTTATTGGCAGGCTAGTAACAAAGTGCCTCAAGATAGAATTTTAGAAGTGATTTGTTGCTAAGTTGTCTGTGTGTAAACAAATCGCTTCATCCCTCGAGTTACGTGCCTTTTTAAAGCTTGAATGATTCATATGTCTGCGTTAAATAGTTTAACAACAACAAATAATTTCTCTGATTGAAAATGAGTGAAAAAGTAGCCAATGTACCAAGAAAAGGTTTGAAAGTTCTTCAGAAAGCCTGGAAAACTATTACCAAGATCACTTTAAAAAAATTATAACAAAATCTGGCTCCCTGGAAGCAAATTACAAAGGAAAAGAGGGTGGTGCAAGGTTTTTGCACAGTACTTTAGTGTAACTGGGTTTGCACGTATCTGTACACGTAATTCTGCTACAATCAAAGTGTTGTTTTGCATGCAGAGGTACTGATTAACTGAGGTAGAGAAGGCTAATGATAAATTAAACAACGAAGTGCAGTGAAGAGAAAAAGGAAGGTGCCAGTAGGTTAATCAATTCCCCTGACACATTCTTTAGCTATGAGACATGAGTTTCAGTAATGAAGCACGGCTTGCATATCACCACTCTTGTTGTCTTGCACACCCACAGACACACAGGTTCATGTTATTTGGGGGGGGGGGAGGATGAGCATGTATTTTTTTAAAGGGGATTCGCACACAAAACAACTGAAAAGCAACCTCACCCACGTGTTTTGTGCTTGCATTTATTTGTCTGCGTTTTGGGGTGTTTTGACGTCAGTGCTATTTTACAAAGCACCGGCATGCTTCCTTGGCTAATCTGAAGTGTCACTTGGTGCCGTTTGGCATCACCATGTTACAGCGTATGCCCAGCTCTTATGACACCAACGCAATAATCGTGTAAAGGGTTTGTGTTTTGTCAGTTGTTAACTGTCCATGAAGCAGAAGCTCAGGATGGAACAGTGCAAACTGAAGTCGCACACGTAATACATTTTGATAGGTTTTTTTTATACGGTGACTGGGTGAGGGATGTGCCGTGTTTAGAGGGATCACCACGTAACATCCAACACAGTGTTTTACAGGCCCGCACTCAAAACCACAATGCACCACTCTGATCCCTGCCATCACATGCCAAGTCCGAAATTTCAAAGAGAAGGGGGGGTTAAAATCAACACAAGCTACACATGAACTCTTATAACACACAGCCCGCGCACACCTTTCCTCTCTTCAGTTATTGCTCAGCCGTTTCACTCTGTGTTTGTGCAGCTCTCTTATAATTCTGGATCATGCTTACTCTTGGCTCGGTGCAAAACTCAGCTTGGTACCCCCCCCACCCCAGTACCGTTGTGTTGCTTTTCCACTTGCACCTTTCACTGGATGTGCTGTGCTTTTCCATTGGCTGTGTTGATGTTGAGCTTTGCTTCTTGTACTTGTCGTTCTGAACAGGACATCACACATGTACATGCAAGTCCATATTCATTTTTCACTCTCCTTTGGGACACGCATTGTAAAGTTTATGCAAATTTCCACAATTTCTTTTTGTACATGTACAATGACAATAAAGGGCTATTCTATTCTATTAACACCCATATTAATAATCTCCAAGCACCTCTGGAAACTGCTTCACTTGGACACACCTTAAAACTCAGAGAAGTTATCACACATCCTTTTTTTAATCCATGCTGTATCGAGCACATTAAAGACACAATGTTAACACAAACACTCACTCAGACATGGTCCTGATCACTGTCTCCCTTGCTGCTATCACTAACCATTTGCTGTTGCACCGGTGCTTGCTTTTTTCTTTATTATTATTTTGCTGTTTTTCTTTTAATTAATTTTTTTCCCTTGTGTTCATTGTAATCATGACCTCTCGCTGTTTTAATTTCAGATTTGCATATCCACTTCCACTCCTTCCTCATTTGCATACAGCAAGAATGGCGAGCGGGCATCCCACAGACAAATTCAGTTTCATGTATCAACCAGACACGCACAAGAGGTACGGGGCACGCATGCACACACACTTACATGCGCACACACACACGAAATTTCGTAGGCCTGTATTCACAATGAGCAGGTAAGTGGAAATGAAGAGCGTGCACTTGAAGTCTTCTACGGTGTGGAGAAGGATGCCTTATGGGTCATTATCTGGCACCTTCAGCCTGACCATTTTCTCCAATCTGAATTGATTACTGGCCCCGTGTCTGGAAAAACCCAGAAGGTAGCGCCTTGTTGGTGCAGTGGTGGGAAAATAAGGCAGGTAGCAGCATTGAACCAAAGCGTTCTTTTTCAATTGATCCAAGCATTCTTGTGCCTTTGAGTCAGAACTTGTGCATTTTTCTTTTAAATCCAAGCAGTTTGTGTTTTTAAGTCCATACTTATATTGAGCCTGCTTTGAGGTTGGGGAGTCGCAGGGCTTGATTTTGTTGCATGCCAGCAAAATCCTTCAGCTGGATGCCGCTTTAAGAATCTGACTCTGGGATTATGCGTGTGGTGAGTGTGCTTGATAATGGTAACAATTTTCTTTCCAGTTTACATGGCTTATGTCTCTTTTCCCCTCCATTTTCCCCTCCTTGTCTTTTCTTAACTCTCTCTCTTCTGTTTTCCACTTTTTCTGTTTCTTTCTCTCTCCTAGTAAGAACAGGTTATCTTCAGCTATGAATCCAGTCTACAGCCCTGTCCAGCCTGGAACTCCATATGGAAACCCCAAGAATATGGCCTTCACAGGTAAGATGTCCACAGACGTACAGGTCTGCCGTCTTCAATACTGAATACCGAGGTTTAAGCCAGTTGAGATATGCCTAACAGAGTTCTGATAGGACAGAAATGCTAATATGACATTGTATTCAAGTTTGTGCAAAAAAACATTGTTTCTATTAACATCCCTACCAGTGACTCCAGCAATCAATTATGCAGTACAGTAAAAAATCTAATTATATGCTCTCTTGTGTATATACACTTACTGGCCACTTTATAATAGAACTTGTTTAGCTGCTTTTTTTTTTTTTTTTTTTTTTTACAATGACTACATGTCATTGTTAGGATAACCTGTTGAAGTTCAAACAAAGCATCACAATGGATGATTTAAGTAACTTTGAACATGGTGTGGTTGTTTGTGCAGTCTGAGTATTTCAGAAGCTGCTGATCTACTGGGATTTTCCCACACAACCATCTCTCACGTTTACAGAGAATAGACATTTGGCATCAACAAGACATGAACAGTGCCTCCACAGCCACCAAATCTCAGTCTTGTAGAGCATCTTTTGGGATGCGGTGTAACGGGATTGCATCATGGACGTGCAGCTGACAAAATTGCAGCAACTTTGTGATGCTGTCATATCCATATGGGTCAAAACCTGAATGTTTCGTTGTTGAATCTGTGCTACAAATGCAAAGGGAGCAAAGTGCACCTAATAAAGTGCCCAAGGAAGTGAGTTTGCAAGAAGAGATAAAAGGAAAGAGACAAAAATATAGGCCATTGTTAATCTTGGGCCTCAAAGGTTATAATAGTTATAAAGTTATAGTATACTGAAATACTGAAGTGAAAGCTACTGATCTATATATATTTTTAAGATGGAACTTTTAACTCTTGTGCCCATTTTTATTTTTGTGATAAAACCAATACATGATTGAATGCATTCAGTTAAAGGGGAAAATCCAACTTGTGGTGTTAAAGTTGGATCGTGGCATGCATGTTTAACTGGAGTGTAGCAACATCTGTTGTGTTAATGTGTCATCTGATTCAGGACTCTTTAATTGGTGCTTATGATGAACTGGCAAGAAGCTGTTTCTTTAATATAACACTGAATTGTAGTGTAAATGCAGATTTTGCCACTTTTTTTTTTCTTCAAAAAAGGTGAGAAATTTAAAAAGAAAAAAAAAAGTTTATTTTAAATCTTCATGATTTCTGTTTGGTTTGGTTTTTTTCCTGACCAGAAACACATCCTCCAAATCTGAAATAAAAACAATGAAGATTGATGACTTACTATTTTCTGATTTTTCCAGAACCAATCTGTAAATTTTTGAGTGCTCATTATGCTATGCTTTAATTTTATGCATGCGTGTGTCTGCTGTGTTGTTAAATTAAAAAGTATTCTTTGCATTAGCATGAACGAAATAAACACGGGATGTTGTGTGATCGTGATTAACATCTCGACCGTCTTATAACTGCGTTTATTGGAACTGTTACATCCGACCGTATCTCAACCTACAGCAGCCAAAGCTCGATATAGCGGAGGCTCACGGCTACAGAACAGATCTGCGAGACTGTCTGCCAATAATAGCAAAGAGTGAGGAGAGAACAGCACTTAGCTCGCTTACACTCCCTCTCTTCACTCTGTGCTGCTTTTTTTTCCCCCTTTTACTTCCATCGTCTTTGTCTCGCCCTGTCGAACCTGCACCTTTTTATAAGGAGAAGCTTTTTCGCAGGTCAGATTGACTTTTTGTTCGCTCGACACGTAATTTATGACGCACGGGAGTATGCGTGGTGCATGCGTGCGTGCATCCCTCGCACGTGTCTGCAGGCATTGCTAATGTTTCTGAATTTGTCTCTCCTCCCACACCATATTGGCAGGTGTGTCCCGTCTGCCAAATTGGTGTATGTAAGACGCATTCAGCCAACTGTGTTATTGGTGCAGACATTTTTTTAATGAGCGCCATCTGTGCACATCCTGCTTCAAACCAAATACTCCCCTACCTGTGTGTCTGTGTGAATAAGTGAGCGGGTTGGGGAAAGGAGGGGGACTTCAGTTGTGCGTGTCTGCGTCCCCTCTGCTTGATGTTAAGGTTTCTAATATTTTCTGTCTCGCCTGTGGCGTCTTGCAGGCTATCCAGGGGGGTATCCTGCTACAGCTCCTACCTACACCAACCTGTACCAAACAGGCAGTCCTGGGTATCCACCAGGTAAGCTCTACCCTCCTCCCCATACACAGAGAGCTCATATTTAACAAGGTAATATCTTGGGAGAAATTGTCAGTTTAGAGTAATTTTCAGAGTTAATTAGAGGGCTCTTTCTCTTTTTCTAAGAAGAATAAAGGATAATTGCACTACAAGGAACCATTGAAGTTTGTGTGCGCGATGCAAGACAAACACTGATGAATTCAGACAAATCATTATCATGCAGCTACAAGTATTAAGCTACTAGACTGTTTTCTTCTGCCTGCCTTTGCTGGGTTGATTTATTTGCCTGGTTCTGCCAGAGGTTTCTTCATGTTAAAAGGGTTTTTTTTCCTTCCCCCTATGAGCGAGCAGTTAGTGAGAAGTTTGTTGGTTTTTACTCTGTATTATTCTAGGGTCTCACCTCATAATATAAAGCACCTCAAGGCGACTGTTATTGTGATTTGGTGCTATATAAATGAATTGAATTGAATACAAGATTAGAATAGTTAAAACATGAGAAACGATTTATATTAAGGCAAAGCAACGCAGAATGGAAAATAGACAAATGCTTTTACAAATAATTTCTGTCATGCTTCATTTGGCTCCCGAGTAAGTAACAGTAACATCGACCAGGCTCAAAATACAAGGCAGCCACATCACATCCACATGGTTGTGATTGTTTAACAACACTAATGATTTTATCAACTTGGGAAAGTAAAATACAAAATATGGAGAACATATATGTAGTTTTAGTAGTTTAGTAAAAAAAAATGGTATTCTAAGTTGCCCGATGAACTACTGAAGGGCATGTTTACTGAGACTCTGAATGTCTACATGACTGTGTGTGCATTAAGTCAACACGACGGTCTCACACCAGTTTATTAAAAGCTTGTGACATTTCAATTTTTTTTGTTCCTGACCACAGTTTCCTCATATCTACATGTAAACAAAGTAGAAGATTTTTTTTTTGTTCTAAGAGAACTACATGACTACATTTTTGCCACTCATGCTATTTTTAATTCAGTTTTATTTATATAAAATCAGTTCATCACAACAGCAGCCAAGAGGCACTTTAACTTCCTTAATAAAACTGCTCTGTTAAGTTTAGCCAGTAAAAGAACTTCAATCATTGTTTGGGTCAAACTACAACCGCTGCCCCTTTTTTCTTTTTCTTTGTTTAAAGACTTGTTGGTTGTCAGGGTGATGCGTCCTCGCTGAAAGCCTCACGACAGCATACGAGCTGCAGGCTGCTCAAAGCATAATTCCAACTGAAATACAAGAATTTAAGAGGAATGCTGACTTTAATGGCAAAAAATGTGACAATTCATGTCCGTGTGAATAAAATAAAATTAAAAAAAAGTCTTTTCTCTCGTTTTACCACGAGACCAAGCTGGTTAGGAGTGGTTACGCCCACACGCAGAGTGAAGCAGCACAAAGAAGAGAAACTAACATGACTTAAAATGACAGCAAGATTACAGGAGAGAACCTCACACTGAGGTGGAGTTAAATGGGTACATAAATTCACAAGCCTTCTTTTCCTAGCATACGTGCTTTTTCATCCCTGCATTGGTGAATTTGAGTCCAGTGCTATTACTGTTCCTGGTTTGCTCGTTGTGAATTCTGCCGTGATGCAGAAATGATCATTAAAAACTCAGAACCGAGTGTTTGTGAAATGCCTTGAAAAGCCTGAACGAACTGCGCCTCCAATTTATCTTAATAATTTTCAGAAATGTTTTTATCTTCCTGATGAGTAATCTGTAACCGCGCAGTCTGGCAGCTGAGTAATGTGATGGTGTGAAATGAAAGGTAGTCAGTGTTAAGGTTAAGGTTGTCTAACACTTAATGTATTGAATAAATTACACACTGATGACATTTTAATTTAAAGAGGATCCATCACTGCTACTGCGGCACTGCAGCGCTGCGTAGAGATGCAATGAGTTTGTCCGTTTATGATGCGTGTTTAACCTAAAGCAAATACAGTTTCCTACATATTTAATGGTTATCAGAGTCACGTGCGGTTACAATTAAGTTACGAACCAAACCATGCTCATAAAAATTGACGGAGCATTACCATCACTCATGCAGTTACAATGTTGTTTAGAGCTGCACACAGACTCGAGTCGTTTAAAGGCAATATGAATTAAGTGATGATCTCAGCCTAAAGGGGCATTAATGGCGAAGGAGTGGGAAGCTAGCCAGTAGCAGCTGCTAGTGCCCATATAGCAGCAAATGCGTGCTCTGTTGGGGTTCATTGTGTGGTCCCCTCAGCAGATGGGACTACAGTTGTGCTTTCCTGATATGCATGTATAGATGGTTTAGGTTTGGTGATTGCAGGCTTTCTTGTAGTCCAAGCATACGAAAAAAAACATTTATTACATTGTTTGAAAGCATTAAATTCATCGTTCTGCTCATTCGGGATATCAATTTTTCAATCTTGTGCAGATTTGTGGTAATAAAGGTAATTATACAGTAATGCAATTTGATCTGATTGGGGGTAGGCGAGGAAGGAAGTCAACAAGGATTGCTCAACGTTGAGCAATTAAATAAAAAGATTAAAAAAAAATAACCAAAAGAGTAGGAATGGTGAAATGAATGGGACTGATACTGAGCTCAGGGAAAAATAAATGATTTGTAGTGTCAGCAAGATGTTTTTATTTAATGGAGTCTTTGAACGCATGCATTGTTACTGAATTCAGAGATAATGATGTGTTTTTATAACAGCAGTAAAGATGTGATATATAATCATGCAAGAATCTATTGATTGCTTTAAATGTTGATTAAAATACCTTTCAGAAAAAAAATGCTACTGGATGTATGGATTAAATTTAATTTCCTCAGCAGGGAGCGAAGATAGCGACTGAAATTGTTTTCTATTGTCTTAAATATTGAGTGTGGTACTCGAGCAGAGAGGGTGGGGGTTGTACTTTTCATCTGTGCCGCTTTTGAAGCTTCCTCCCCTTGTTCCCTCCCCGAGTTTGTTTTCCGTCTTTTGGAAGTCTAACCAAATATCAGGTATGCTTTGGCAAAGCTCTGTCAGCTTTGTTCCAGCCGAAACCCGAGACTCATTATCAGGGTTGTTTTGGTTTGGGTTTTTTGTTTTTGTTGTGTGTGTGTGTGTGTGTGTGCTTGACTGCAGATATCTTACCCTTTACTCCACAGTGGTTAATTTATGGGGAAATTAAAATGTTTAGATTTTGTATCAGTGACAACAATGAATCGGCCAGACAAGCCAGCCTCCGTCTGATTAGAAAACGTGTCTTGGTCATTATTTCTCAAGACCGCTGAGGAGACAAAGTGTTTTCTATCAGCAGGGCTTTTGTGTGATTGTCACGCACCATTGTCCTTTAATGCCCTGCATGCATGTTAGTGCAAAGAATGAATGTGAGAGCATGTGTGCGTATACACACACACACACACACACACACACACACACACACACACACACACACACACACACACACA